TATTTGCGGCGGATTGATAGAGGAGAGTTCGAATATCGGATTGGCAACGTATTCGGGATGGTGGACACTGCTGCCAATGGACGAAACCGGAAGAATGCTGCGGGAGGATGTGAAGGTGATGATAATGAAGTCCATGCGGCCGTGCTATCTGTCCGCTGGTGGTTTCTTTCCTGTGTCCTTGGAGACATCCACCGCGGTAACCAACATTCAATTTCCTGCAAATATTATATTTTTTTCCAAAATATTATTCAACATTTGGATTAAAATTTTTTTTTTTTAATTTTTAAAAATTCGAGATCTGTCGTGAAATTTTATATTTTATCGTGAAAATTGTTATTAAAATTGTTAATAGTTGATAAGTTTGCAAATATCTCATAACATTTTATTTTATTTTAAAACTTAAACAAGAATTCAATTAAAAAAGAAGGATTAATTACGATAAATTAATTATATATTAATTATTTATTATTATATATATGGAAGAAATGTAAATTTCTTTTATATGCAAAACCAAAAAATTGTAAGATATTAAATTAAAATGATTTATTAAATTCTTGTTGCAGCTTATGAGTTCTACATTGTCGTATTTCACCCTCATGAGAGAATCATCCAAGGATAAATAACTCACCATACACGTAATACGTACATTGATTTATTGAATAATAATATATATATTTTAATCTTTATAAATAAATATTAATATTTGCATAAAAATTAATTACATGGAATAGAAATAATATTTGATTTAACAGGTTCTTTATATCCAGTGGCATTAAATAAAATAGTAATCGAAAAACTTGTAACTTGCAAAAGAAAACAATTAACGGAAAATCATTTCTTACCAAAATGTAAAATAATTTAAGAATTTTTAAATTTTTCTCCTGCTTTTTAAAATTGTTCAACTTTTATTCTTATTACATTTTTAATCTACAATATTTTTTAACCTTTTAGATATTTCTTCTCAGTTCTATCTATATTATAAATTTATTCGAAACGATCTTATGAAATAATGTTCACGATATAATAAATAAATATCAAACATTATTAAAAGCTAATAAAATCGATACAAATATAATTCTAATCGCGTGATACGTTCACACTTGTTGAAGCGTATCGCATCGACTGATCTCGTTTCGTTCCAAGTCGGTGTCACGCGTCGGTGTCATTCGTTTAATTATGCATCCCATCCCTCGAACAAACCTTTATTTCCCTTATCACGTAACACTCAATACCACCCAATCCATATCCAATTTGAGACAAAGAAAATTAAAAAAAAAAAGAAAGCAATGAATAGTTGTCAACGTCAAACGTCTCGCATTACGAAGTAACACTTTCTCGAGGAAGAAAAGGGAAGAGGGAAATGGGGGAAATTTCGAAAGGGACGAAAATTGTCGCGAAAGTCGTGACGCATTCGAAAGACTCGCCGCGTGGCAAAGATTTCGCTTTGTCGATGACGGCATTTTTAATGAAAATCGTTGGTCTCTGGTTGGCCAAAAACAAGCAGGAACAACGTAAACGCCATTTAACGTTGATGTACACGGTGATCGCGATTTTGTTCGGCGTTTGGGTCCAGTTCAGGGACTTTTATTATTCGTGGCCCAACTTCGGTGTAAGTAATATTTTTTAAATTTGTAAAAATTTCGAAATTTATGGTAATGTTGATAATTTATTTAATTTAAATTTAGTAGTTAGTCGTAATAAATTGTTCCTTCGATTTATTATGTATTTATTATATAATGATAATGTAAAATTATAAAAATTTAAAATCGTCAAAAAAAGTTTTGAACGTATGTTTTAAATTTCTAAAAAAGGAATAATAGATTCTACGAATTCTACAGTTTTTTAGTAGATTTAATTTTGATCGAATTTTTGAAAAGAAAAAAAATATATACACATCAATATTATTTTTTTTTTTTAACTATAGAACTGTGCTTATACAGCTTGCAACATTCTGTGCCTGATCATGGTATTATTAAAGTTGTTCGTCCTGTTTGTGCATAGAAAAGAGTTCATCGATCTTCTCGTGTACACGCACGAAAATTTTTGGCACACCAATTATACGCATAACGAGCTGTTATTGCTACAAAACTGCAAGAGAATTTGTATGTTGTGCATCACTTTGATCAACGTCTGCGCTCAAGGCACGATCGTCAGCTACGTGTTAACACCTATTGTGGGTGAGTTTCTCTTTCTTTTTTTTTTTCTTTTTTAAAATTATTCTAAATAACAACATAGACATTTTAATCTTTCATTTACGAATATTTACTTATTTTCATTCGTTGTTACGATCGCGTAAATATTCGTAATAGAAAATTTAATAAAAAAGAAAAAGTGATTATTGAACATTAGATATTTTCGAATTACAAAAAGAGAAAAAAAAATAGATAATATAGTAAAATTTAACGAATGATGAAATGATTAATACACAGAATCGCGTATTTGTATTTTAGAAAATATCGGAAGAAACCATTCAGATAGAGTTCTTCCATTTAATATGTGGGTTGACCTACCTACGCTATTTGTATCACCGTACTATGAAATATTATTCGTGCTTCAGGTACATACGTAAATACGCACTTTCTATATAAAAAGCAAGCGAGCTTTTACAAATTCGATCAATTAAAAAATAATAACAATAATATTTATATCCAAATATAATTATCTTTTAAAAGAATTTTAAGGAATCGATCCTTATTTTCTCTAAATCGAAGAAAGATGAATCTTTATCTTTTATCTACTAAAAAATTTAATAGAAAAAAAAATAAAACAGACGAATATTCTGAACGTATGATGAAAAAAATATCGTGTGAAATTTCTCCCAGGTACTTTCTTTGTATCACGTCGGTGTATGTTACATTTGCTTCGACAATCTGTTGTGCCTGATGAATCTGCACGCAGCCACCCAATTTCGTATTTTACAACACAGATTATCGAATCTGAGTAGCGGATGGGATACGAGGCGGTTGAACAAGATGGATAGAGAAACGAGATGGTCAAGTTGCATGGAAAATTGTTACGAGACGTTCAAATTATGCGTCAAGCAGCATCAGGATCGAATCACTTATTGCCAAAGGCTGAACAATATATTTACGATCATAGTGCTTGGCCATATACTTGTCTTTAGCTTGTTGATGTGTCTGGTCGGTTTTCAGGTACTTATGGTGAGTATCTCTTTTCTTTTAAATTAATCTTTCAATCGAATCTCTTCTTTATTTTTTTCTTCCATATCGGGTAAAATTAACGTGCCAAGAATATTATATAGATAAAAAAATCAAAAATTTAAAAATTCTTCTTTCGTTAATTTACTTCACTTTTTTTCTTCTTTATTTTTTTCTTCCAAATTAGATAACATTCACGTTTTTCTCTCCCCCCTATTAAGATCAAAAATATTATATAGATAAAAAAATCAAAAATTTAAAAATTCTTCTTTCGTTAATTTACTTCATTTTCTCTCTTCTTTATTTTTTTTTTTTTCCATATCGGATAAAATTAATGTGTCTTCCCTGTATTAAGACAGATGAAAGTTGTAATTGAAATATTATATAGATAAAAAAATTTTCAAAAATTATTCGTTTATTAATTTATTTCACTTTTTTCTCTTCTTTATTTTTTTTCTTCCATATTGGGTAAGTAACGTGCCTTTCTCTCCCCTTATTAAGACCATTAAGAATATTATATAGATAAAAAAATGAAAAATTCGAAAACTCTTCTTTCGTTAATTTACTTCACTTTTTTCTTTTCTTTATTTTTTTCTTTCATATTGGGTAAAATTAACGTACCTTTCTCTCCTCCTATTAAGACTAGAAATATTATATAGATAAAAAAATCAAAAATTCAAAAATTCTTCTTTCGTTAATTTATTTCGAATCTTTTCTCTCTTTATTTTTTTCTTCCATATCGAGTAAAATTAACATGCCAAGAATATATAAATAAAAAAATCAAAAATTCAAAAATTCTTCTTTCGTTAATTTACTTCATTTTTTTCTCTTCTTTATTTTTATCCATATTGGGTAAAATTAACGTATTTTTCTCTCCCCCTATTAATACCAGAAATATTACATAAATAAAAAAATCCTGAAAAATTGTCATTAAAAGGAAAAAGAATTCTGTTCATGAGAAAAGATATGGTTAATAGGCAAATTCACCACCAACGAGGCGTCTCATTTTCGTGTTTCACATAACGGGCAGCCTGTGCCAATTGTTGCTGTTCACATACAGCTGCGATTCTTTGATACAAGAAAGCACGAATATCGGGAGTGCTGTGTACTCTGGCCCTTGGATATGCCTGCCAATGAACAGGATCGGCAGAACGCTGAGAAGAGATCTGACAATGGTCATAATAAGATCGAGGAAGCCTTGCTGTTTGACCGCTAGCAGATTCTTCCCCGTCTCCCTGGAAACTTGTACCACGGTTAGTAACTCGTTCGAATAAAGAAAAAAAAAGGAAAAGAATATTTGATTTCGTTAAGCAATTGCAATTATATAGGAGAGAGAGAGAGAAAATTAATAAAAATAATTTAGAACTGTAATGTTGATCTTGAGACATCTTTGGAAAGTCTATTCCAAAAGCTCTTCAAAAGAAAAATTGTAACTTTGGAAATTTGGTTTTCAAAGATGTTTCCAAAAATACAATTGATAAACAGATGTATAATTTGAAAAATGTATGAATGGCAATGAGAATTGAATTATCTATAGATATTAAAATTGAATATATTTTTATTACAGGTGCTCAGTACAGCGATGTCGTATTTCACTTTAATGAGGCAATCTTTTGCCAATTGAATCGTAGAATATGCATAAATGTGATAGATAAAAAAAGATAATATGATAATTGTAAATCAATTACAAAAATTGTGCAATAATTAATATATTCTGTTGCATTCTGTATCTTTTTATTTCATAAAATCTCCCTTTAAAATTATTATATTTAAATCTTCATTTTTAAATTATTATTTTCATATAATAAATTTTGAGTTCAATTTACTTTTTAAAAAACATAAAAAGAAACCTATACGATGTGTCAAATCGTGCAATTGGTAACATTGAACAAGAAATAAAATTTATTACAAAAGTTAAGTTAATATAAAAGTTAATAAAAATTATCACTGAATGAGTTCACAATGTTCTAAAGATTTTGTTAGAATTTACAAAAATTTCTTTGAATTCTATTAAAATGCTGGTACTCATGAGATCAATGGACTAATCTTTTGAACAACACTCAAGAAAAATTCCTAGAATCAGGCTGAGGAGCTGTGCCATTCACAAACTGTTTCCAATAAGTATATAATAATTCAAGACTCATCATTGAGATTGGAAAATGTCATTTCACGTTCACACTCCAAAGTTTAATAATGTTTCTAAAAAACATCATCCTGTACCATTCAGTATCTTAACAACGTTTTAACAATAATTTCTGAAAAGTATACACACCTTAAACTGTATTCACTAATTGTAAATACATGTCAAACTATTAAAATCGAATATCTAACACCAATCATAAAATATAATCGAACAGTGAGAAAAAAATAGTAAAAATAATTGGACTAAAACGATTTGCCATGTACTCGAATTATATACGAGCTATATTCCTCGAACGATGAGGCAACAAACGTATTGAACTGTCGCAGATGCATGCCTGCACCGTCGTTCCCCTCGAGAATCGTGAATAATTCATCCATCTGACACGTCTATCTTCCCTCTCTTCACGCAAGAAGGGAACAGCAATTACAATGACGTTCAAAATAATCAGTTGTCCACAAAATAGAGTACGGGAAAAACGAGCAAAACGAGGTGTTCAGTGATCAATGTGGCAATCATATCAATCACTCTTGGTATGGATGATAGCAGTAATCCGAGAACCGAGTAGAAAGGAATCGAGAAGGGAAGTTTAAAGATTTCAAGAAGAATGAACGCGAGGAAAGTGAGAAATCTATCGATCACCGTCACGGCATTTTACATGAAAATCACCGGGTTTTGGGTGGCGAATAATTACGCGGAGAAACGTTGGAGGAACATTGCTATGTTTGTTACGATCTTCTTCGCGTTCGTGGCCATCAGTGTCGAGGGAAGAGACTTATACTTCGCTTGGGGAAATTTCGAGGTGAGTAAAATTTTTCTTTGCGAATTCTGATTAAATTATCGAATTTTGTAAATTACTAATTTTGGTTCTTTTTATAAAATAAACTTCTATCCTATATTTGAATTTTAAATTTTTTAAAAGTGTCTATAAAAAAGTTTCATTGATATATATATTTGTTATTTTTATTATTTTTTCATACGAAATTGAAAAACATTGTGAAAGAGAGAAGATACTTTATTTAAAATAAGCACGATTCTATGATTGTGTCTTTTTAAAAATAAAATTTTGTTAAATACGTTCTTCTTTAAAATTATGAATATGGCGTCTGCTCAATTATCTCGATAAATTTGTTATTCAACAATTAATTATCTTATTTTTTTCCAATTTATTAATATAGATATAATTTTCGAGTAATAAATAATAATTTCAAAGAATAGATTATGTAATTATAATTTTTCGATTACAGGATTCTATTTTTGTTGGATGCAACATTATAACTATCCTTTTAGTTTTGTTCAAGATTTTCATCTTGTACATAAATAACGAGGAATTGCTTAACGTAGTTAATTACGCGAAAACGAATTTTTGGCACGAAACTAATTATGATGCACACGAGAAAATGATTATAGATGACTATAGACGCCTTTGCTCTTTCCTCGTCTGCTCGTTCACATTCTTCGCCCAAGGAACAGTTGTGTGTTTCGTAACAACACCAGTTTTTGGTGAGACATTTTTGTAATTGGCTAAAATAAACAATAACAACAAATTCTTATCCTAGAATTATTAGTTAAAATTTAAAATAACAATGAATTTTTTCGTGTAATAAAATTCTATCTAATAATTTAAAAATAAACGAATGAAAAGATTAATAATAATTAATTTAAATAAAAAAAATAATCTGTTAATGTATTTTTTAGTAAATAATGGAAAAAATGAATCGGACAGAATACATCCGTTTAATATGTGGTTCGATCGATCACTATCACTGTCACCTTATTACGAAATAATATATATAATACAGGTACTAAATAAATCATTTTCCTGTCAAAAATTTATAATTTTTAACTAGATAGATTAAATAGAATAAATAGATAGAAAAATAATCAATCTTTCATTAAATTAAAGATAATCATTTTTAATGAATAAACTCTGGATTTTTATGTAACTAAAATTTATTCAACTGATGAATACATATTTGCACATATTTTATATTATTACATTCATTTAAAACCACATATAAAACTTCTTATGTAAAAGAAGAAATTAAATATTTTTTCACCAAAAAATAAAAGAAATTATATTATTGAAATCACTTTTTGATTCATTCCGATATCTCATTACGTTGTCGAGATATGAAGATTCAAAGTTTCCTCTTAAAACAGTGCACAGATTATGAATGGGCTCGCTGCACAGTGACTTACATATTTTTCCTGGAAATACGTGCGCTACATTTTTCCAGGAATTGCGTTCGTCGCTTGCTTGGAGTTTGAGAGAGATAGATAGCGAGAGATAGATAGCGAGCGAGAGAGTCAAGTAAGAGACAAGAAAGAAGTTAGTAAACGATTAAAATTACCATTTTATTTACACGATGATATCTCGGGAACCGGAAATCGTATCGAGATAAATCAATAAGCGTTTTAAAGTGGAAGATATCGTGCTTCTAATGATTTTTTAATCATTGATCTAGGATTACTATCTTTAGAGTTATAACGATTTAAAGTTTTTCTAATTTTAATAGAATTTCTAAGGTAGCGATGATTCGACGAAAAGCGAAAGTTATCCGACAAGGACGAAAATAATAAATGATCGAAAATTAACCTCTTCTTTACACGATGATATCTTGGGAACCGGAAATCGTATCGAAATAAATCAAAAAGCATTTTAAAGGGCAAGATTCAGGGTTTCTAACGATTCTTGATTCGTTAGCCGAAGATCACTATCTTTAGAGTTATAGCAGTTCAAACTTTTTTCAATTTTAATAGAGTTTAATAGAGTTTAAGATATACGATTAAAAATTATTTTCGCTTTATAAGATATTTTGGAAACCGAGAGTCGTATCGGGATAAATCAAGAAGCGTTTCAAAGAGCAAGATTTCGCGTTTCTGTAATAATCTTCGATTCGTTGATCAAATATTATTATCTTTATAACGGTTCAAAATTTTTCTAATTTTAATAGAGCTTTAATCATGTAATATGTTGAATATATGAAACGCGTATTTACATGAAAATCCGCAATACAGTAATAGAATATTACTATATATTATACTTTATATTTCCATAGGTTCTAAGTGCATATGAAGTTGGCATATGTTACCACTGCTTCGACAATTTTCTATTCGTAATAAATCTGTATACAGCTGGTCAATTTCGCATTTTGAGATATAGATTTGAAAATATATGCGGAAAAAATGATGGTAACAATTATTACAAAGTTTCGAAATCATCGTACTGTATAGATGAATATAAATCGTTTAAAACTTGCATTCAACAACATCAAGCGCTGATCGAATATTGCAAAAAATTGGAGGATGTATTCAGTACAATTGTATTGGCACAAGTGTTACTTTTTAGCTTGTTAATTTGCCTTGACGGATATTTGGTACTAATGGTTAGTAATATCTCTCATTTATTCTGATTCATCTGTATTTTTATCGATCTTTTTTCACATATTGCGTCGAAAACCGATTCTTTTGTCTATATTTTAATTTTGATTTTTAAACATTAATATTAACATTTGATACTAATAACGATAGGTATGATGGTAATGCAATTTCTATAGGAAGATACTTCCCGTGCAAAACGTGTTATTTTCACATTTCATTTAATGGGTTGCATGTGTCAATTACTGATGTTCACATATAGTTGCGATTGTTTGATGCATGACAGTATGAGCGTGGCTAATGCCGTGTACAACAGCTTGTGGTCGTATTTGCCCATGGATAAATATGGAAAGATATTACGTAAAGATCTTATGTTCGTTATCATGAGGTCCAGATCACCGTGTTGCCTGACTGCTTGTGGATTCTTCCCCGTGTCGTTGGAAACGTATACTGGGGTAAGTAATGTTATTTTTCTCTATTTACTTTGATTTGATATTTTTATTAAGATATTCTTGAAAATTGACAAAATTAAAGATCTACATTGATAAATCCAAAATGAAAGATAAAATGCAAATATTAATCTTATTGATCTATGTCAATGATTTCTAATTATTTGTAATTAGAAGGATATGATTTCAACTCTCAATTTGAAAAAAATATTTTATTTTTTTTTATTCTTTTTTAAATTATTTTCTTTCTGTTTTCAAGTATGTTCTTTAATTGTTTAATATATACATACAATTTACATACAATTTATCATATCTGATATAATAATATTAATTGTTGTATTTTAGAAAACATTAATTTTATTAATTTTATTATTTTTATTTCTCGAATCCTTATTATATAAATTTTATTTGATTAGTTTAAAAAATATGAACATATTGCTTTTAACTATCAAAACACGTATTCTTTAAATAAAACTTGAACTTTTAAGAATTTTTTCATTAAAAAATATAAGAAATCATCACAATCTTCATTATAGATCTTGAGTGTTGCAGTTTCATGGTTTACATCATTGAAAAAATATGAAAAGAAATTATTACAATATGCATGTATTGCAAACCAATCCTTCAAAGAAGAGGAAAGCAATTTTTTATCATAAAAGTAGCAATGTGATCTAATTTTAAGAAGAAAAAATGGAAATTTCAAAAATTATACGATATTTAAAAAATTTCTGAAGTAAGTAAACATTTGGAACAAAAATCATTCAAGCTATACTTATAGTAATAAATCAAATTTTTATGTACAAAGATACATTATGAGATGTTCATCCTTGTCATATGATAAATTCGAAGAAATATTTAGAATAAACATGCACAAATTATCTAACGAATTAGTAAGTAATAATAATTATTTGTAAAATATTTCTGATACAAAAGTTATTATTATTATATCAGATTTAATTAAGATAATATAAAAAAAATCTAAATTTATCTTTTACAGGTTTTGAGTACCGCGGTATCGTACTTTACATTGTTGAGAAATCAATCAGCAGATACTTCTTAAACACAACTTCGAAACGCAAAGTCGTAAATTTTAAATGTACTCGAAGAAAAATATTTTTCAAATTCAAGTTATTGATCATATTTATCTTTTGAAAAAAAATAGAATGAAATAAAAAGCGTTAAAGAAACGTAAAGTTATAAAAATAATATTCTATGTTTTATAATAATGTTACATAAAAAAAAATTTTTTAAATTTCCTAATTTAATATAATCATATTTCATTTTCATTTTTTCATTAATTTCTAGGAATTTATCCTATCTCTTTCCAGAAATGAATATCCTTACCGATATAATTCATTTTCAACCCTTGCTCATGAAACAATTACACTTTCTTTTTAACAACGAAAAAATATTATAATTCTCTGAACAATATTTAACTGTACATCCAACATGTACATCACAACGTCCTCGAAACATTCTCAAACTACATTCAAAGCACCCACACGTTAATCCATCCCCCCTTAAATAATGCAAAGAGACATCCATCAATCCAATCGAAGTCTACTATCAACCTGTTCAACAAGTGGCAATTACCTTTCCATCACCTTATTTCCATAGGATAAAAGAAAAAAAAGAGGATAATATAAGAAAGACGAAAAATTGACACGTCAAAGCGACACCTGTTATTATTATTATGGGGGTTCACGCGTAGTGGAGATACTCGTAAAGGTTAATAGATCGAGCGACAGGTTGAAGAATCAACATGCAAAGGGAGATTCAATTGGACGTATCGGTGAACTTGGCAGCCTTTTTCTTAAAGAATATCGGTCTATGGATATCGGACGATCCTTCCTACGAACGTCGAAGAAAAGTAATACTTGTATACACGATGTGGTGCATTATGCTTAGCTCGATTGTAATTAGCAGAGATGTGTATTTTACGTGGTTTTACAATGGAGTGAGTATAAATTATCAGGTTATTTATATTTATAAATTCTATAACAATAACGTAACATTATTGAAAAAAAAAATGCGAAATAATAAGTAAATAAAGAAATTTATAAGGGAGGGAAAAAAATTTTTTTAAATTTTCTCGATTTAATAGAATATTTATATTTACGTTTAATGAGAATATTATTTTATTTAATTATGCTATATTCGTTGCATTCCAGGATATTCTCTACGTTGTTACCAACGCTTTAAGCATGATGATGATAACAGTCAAGATATGCATGATAGTAATGCACAAAGAGGAATTTATCAATCTGATCGTGTACATGCAAGAAAATTTTTGGAACGATAACTACGATTTTCACGAGAGGGAAATTTTGGAAAATTGCAAGAGAACTTGTGCTTTCTTCGTCTCCTTGGTTACAACGATTGGAATATGTGCTATACTGTCCTACTTGGCTACACCACTCATTGGTAAGTTAAAATATCAAGCGAGAAACAGAGATAAGAGATGAATTGAAACAATTACATGATAAAATCATCATAATAGAGAATTAAAAAAAAAGAAAAAATTTAAAAAAAGCAAATAGAAGGAAACACGAATGTAAAGAATACAAAGAATAATATAGTGTATAGGATAAACACAATGGCATAGAAATAAATAAAAAAAAAATGTAAGAATAAAATAAATTATTTATATACACTTTTCAGTGCAAACTGTGAGCAATAATTCCGAAAGAATGCTTCCATTTAACATGTGGTTAAAATTACCATTATCGGAATCACCTTACTACGAACTAATGTTCGTTTACCAGGTAAATTTAAAATTTCTTTCTTTTCTTTAAACAATTAAATACTTTGATAATAATTCGCTATAAATTGTTCGAATTATCGAATTTCTATTTAATTACGAGAAAAAGAGGCATATTCTCGCTTTTCAACAGATAATGACTTTCTACTTCATTGGAATATCATATTTTTGCTTCGACAATATTTTCTGCATTATGACCGTACATCTGGCTGGCCAGTTCCAAATACTTCGATACAGATTCGCGAGATTGTGCGATGTAGAAAATCAAATATCCGAGAAAGGCACGGAATCTATGCTGTTCGCGCATGCGCAAACATTTTACGAGAGATTCAAAGCTTACGTTCGATATCATCAGACGTTGATCGATTATTGCGAGAAAATTGAGAATGTGTACACTATGATTATACTTGGACAAGTATTGGTATTTAGCGTGTTAATCTGCCTCTTCGGTTATCAAATATTGTTGGTTAGTATTTCACTTTTCTATAAAATTTAAAAAAAAAAGAAATATCGAAATATTGAAAAATTCGAAAAAATTGTGTACAATCTATTGTCCCTCGTCATCGTATAAAATACAATGAAACGATGCATAATTATAACAAACCATATTATAAATAAAATACGTATATTGCATATTGTATATTGTAGAGAAGAAAAAAAAAATTATACCTCGATTTGTGGAAACTTTATATTCCAATATACGTTCTTTCTATCCCATATAAGATAAAATAACGATATTTTCATAATTTTTCTCTTTCGAATATTATTCTCTCTTAGGCTAACGCGCCTTCCGCGAGACGCTCCATTTTCATCTTTCTTTTAATCGGCGCCATGTCTTTACTGTTCATGTTCACATTCAGCTGCAATGGAGTAATAGAGCACAGTGAAAATATCGCTATAGGTGCGTACTCAGCGTTGTGGACCGTGATGCCTATGAACAAATTTGGGAAAATGCTTCGAAACGATTTAATAATGGTGATCGAGCGATCGAGACGCGTTTGTTGTCTGACTGCGAATGGATTTTTCCCTGTATCGTTGGAAACGTACACTACAGTGAGTAATACTTGATAAATATAATACTTAATTAAAAATTTGCGTTCGAAAGTAAAAATTAAATTTAAATAAAAGTGAATAAAATAAAAATTTAATTTTCTCCAAAAACAAAATAATGACTTAATAGTTTAAGAATTATTTTATTTAATAAATTTAAATAAAAGTGAATAAAATAAAAATTTAATTTTCTCCAAAAACAAAATAATGACTTAATAGTTAGAATTATTTTATTTAATAAATATTATTAATTTTATTTAATAAATTTAAATAAAAGTGAATAAAATAAAAATTTAATTTTCTCCAAAAACAAAATAATGACTTAATAGTTTAAGAATTATTTTATTTAATAAATTTAAATAAAAGTGAATAAAATAAAAATTTAATTTTCTCCAAAAACAAAATAATGACTTAATAGTTTAAGAATTATTTTATTTAATAAATATTATTAATTTTATTTAATAAATTTAAATAAAAGTGGATAAAATAAAAATTTAATTTTCTCCAAAAACAAAATAATGACTTAATAGTTTAAGAATTTGAAAAATTATTAGAATTTATTAAAATTTTTATTTATCCTTTATTAATATATAAAATTTTTATTAATTTTTATTAATGATATGAATTGTAATACTTCTTTCATAAAAATGATGAATGAATTTCTTTTTCACGTTTTACAGATTTTGAGTACCGCAGTATCATATTTCACGCTATTAAGAAACAACGTAGAAAAGGCAAACGAAGCGTAATATATATATAAATTTTTGTGAAGGTATTAGAAAAAAAAAAGCAACTATATGTAGTGTTTTAAAAAATTATAAAATATATTTCTAACAAAAAATAACAAAAGTATGAACGAATAATATAACAATGAAGATATTTTCATTACAAATTAATTAATAATTAACAGGATTGTATAATTATTCTTACTTATATTCTTACCATTATTCATTCACACCAGCAAACATTCGTAATTGTGCAATACTTATTCACTTTATAATAACCACGAATTAACCTCAACCATATATATCATTACCTTTTATAACAAAAATTTTTCATTTCCTTTTATAACAAAAATAAAATCATAATATTACTTCACCAATAATATTCCGTACTATTCGATGTTCACCATTCGACTATACAGTTCGAAAGATCGTAGCTCATCGAGAGCTTCGCTATATGCGTTAATTCATGCGATATGCACGTAAATAATGCAAAAGAAATCCACCAACAGTGCAATCAATCTGTCCCCTCTTGAAAGGTGGCAATCAGGTTTCGCACCGTTTCTTTTACAAGGTAAAAAAGAAAAGAAAAGAAAAAAGCGAGAAAAGACACGAGGGACAAAGAATCGATGATAAAACTGTTATTATTACGCGTTTGAGCGTGTAAAGTAAACGACACATTTGGACACAATACAAATGGAAAAAGAATTGGATATATCCGTGAATTTGTCATCATTTTTCTTGAAGAACATAGGGCTGTGGATAGCTGACGATTCCACGAATGAACGTCGAAGAAAGGGGATGCTTGCCTATACGGTTTGGTGCACGTTCTTCTCAACCATCATCAGTAGTAGAGATTTGTACTTCACTTGGATTTACAATGGCGTACGAGTGTATTATATTTGTATGAAACTACCGACAGTTACAGTAAGCGTGTATGAATTGGCTTTTTGGAAGAAGATGTGCAGTACAAAAGTTTGAAACTTATTTTCTTTTTTTGGGGGAGAAAAATATGTCAATTTAAATATGATTAATTTTTGTAAAAAACTAAAGCTATCAAGAAACAATTGTTCAGGTTATTATACTTATTATATATTAATAATAATAATTTTCTAACAATTTAATTTCAGGATATTCTTTACGCCCTTACTAATTATATGAGTGTAATGATGATCTTGCTCAAAATATGCGTCATAATGGTGCATAAAAGTGAATTTATTAATCTGATCGTGTACATGCAACAATATTTCTGGAATGTTAATTATGATTCTCGCGAGAAAGAGATTTTGAACAGTTGCAAAAAAACTTGTGCCTTTTTCGTTTCCTCTGTCACTTTTATCGGTATATGCGCTATACTATCGTATCTAACGACACCATTCACAGGTATTTTAATATATTTTTATATTTATTTATAGAATTTTAGATGATCATTTCTTGTACAGGCAAAGTGGAAAGAAGCGATTCCACAAATCGAAACTTGCTTTATTTAAAAAAAAAAATCTGAAAAATTGTTTACAACTTTAATGAACAAAAGCTTCAATTTTTTGACTTTGTGTTTCAATTTTAAAGAAAAAAATTTATTTTTCATTTTGTTTGAACATTCGTTTGATACTTCTATAATATAAAAAGTTAAATAATTAGGTATTATATAAAAATATTTGAAAACAATAATAAAGATCATATTTGTTTCGTAGCTCGTATTGCAAACAATGAATCCGAAAGAATACTTCCATTTAATATGTGGGTGAATTTGCCACTTTCACAAACGCCTTATTATGAATTATTGTTTCTTCTCCAGGTATTTTAAATTTTCTTTTAACATTTTATCACAATTTACAATATGATATCTCTTAACGTTTACTTTAAAATACAAAGAAATAAATTATCTACATCAAATATTATCTACTTTCAAAATCATTTAAAATTAGCATTATTGTTAATATAAACTATAAATATTGATTCGATTGAAATTTTCATTTTTTTTATTTCTTCCTACAGATAATAACTTTGTATTACATAGGGATCTGTTACTTTTGCTTCGACAACGTTTTCTGCATCATGGCCATCCATCTGACCGGCCAATTTCGCATACTCAGATACAGATTCGCGAAACTGTGCAACATAGAATACGAAAAAGACACGGTATTGGCAAAGCACGTGCACAGATGTTACGAAAAATTTAAGGAGTACGTTCGATACCATCAGGACCTGATCAACTTTTACACAAAGCTTGAAAACGTATACACGATGATCATACTCGGGCAAGTGATAGTATTTAGCGTGTTAATTTGCCTGTTTTGCTATCAAGTGTTGTTGGTTAGTATAAAAATTATTCTAAACACTCGTTGAATCCGTTAACTTTTTTTTTCTAATCTTTTACTTGGCTCTATCATCGTATAAAACGAAACGAAGAAAATTTTTTCGAAAATTTCGAAATTTTATTTTAATGTCACGTGTAATTATTACAAAATATTTGATTATAAATATTAAGATAATATTCAAACATACCTTAACTACGCAAAAAATATACATCTTCTCAAAATATTGTTCTCTCTTAGGCTAACGCTCCTTCAGCAAGACGTTCCATTTTCGTCTTTCTTTTAATCGGCGCCATGTCTTTACTGTTCATGTTCACCTACAGCTGCGACGGTGTGATAGAACAAAGTGGCAACGTCGCTATAGGAGCTTACTCAGCACTGTGGACGATAATGCCGATGGACAAATTTGGGAAAATGCTTCGAAAAGATCTGATAATGGTGATCGAGCGATCGAGACGCGTTTGTTGTCTGACCGCGAATGGATTTTTCCCCGTATCTTTGGAAACCTATACTACGGTAATTTTACACTCGTTTTTTTAAGTATATACTCGTGTTATATTTGATAATTCGGTAAGTAAACATTACGATATAAATTCTATTAAACGATCATTAACAGTGTCGTTAATATTCGTTTAAACTGTAAATTTGTATATGCCACTCGTTTTACAGATTCTGAGTACCGCGGTATCGTACTTCACACTGTTACGAAATAATATAGAAAATGATAAGGATGATTAATGACAATTGACAACCGATTATCGATCAATCAGTTGAAATTGTACATAAGCGATTCTTAAAATAAAGAAAGATAAAAATTGTTACCTTTATTTATATTATTATTAATTATAATTAAAACTTCTTTTGGGCATTGTTCAAAAATAAAATTAGACATACGATTTTTGTAAAAAAAAAATATATATATATATTCATTCCGATGAATTACATCAGAAATCACTATCTAAATGTCTCGGCGCGTTAGAAATTCTTTGTTCTATCGTTATAGACGCTATAGCTATACCATCTACAAATTATCTCTTTAATTCGCAATTTTTCCTACCATCAAAGGGACAAGAAACGATTTCACAATTCCTGATTCATGCATAACGCATCGATACAATCCATTTTTCACTAAATAAGAGGAATAACTTATCACCGTGATTCCCTTCCCTTTTTTCTCCACCTCTTTTTCATCTTTTCATTGAAAGACCGATACGTATGAACGGTAATAATATGAAATAAATACAAATTACACGATCGATGAGTAGAGAATACCAATAGATCAAAGTGGCTTCCAGTTACGATGATAATCAATATTCAGTCTCTACCGGTATAGTATCAATGTACGAACGTACCCAACCAGTTTATTAAGTGAAAAACGATATGAGTTTTCTCGAAAGCGATATATCCGTCAGCCTGACGTCAATTTTTATGAAGCTCGTCGGATTATGGATGGCGGCCAACGAATACGAACAACGGATGAGAAACATCATGGTTACTTACAACGTGGTCGCCATTCTTTTCGCTCTGTGGATACAAACTACGGATATATATTACTCGTGGGGAAATTTTAGCGTAAGTATGACGAGTTGTTATAATAAATAATTTTAATTACGATCATTTCATAGGCTTGCCTCTTCTCTATGTCCAATACGCTGTCGTTAATTCTACCCCTGTTGAAGATATTCATTCTGCTTAGTCACAAAGAAGATTTTTTCCGTTTGATCCTGTACATGCAAAGGAATTTTTTACGGGGAAATTACGACGATTACGAGAGAAAAGTCGTGATCGGTTGCAAGCGGAAATGCACCTTCTTCATTTGTTTCTTTACATTTTTCACAATGGCGACTATTGTTTCTTACATCGCTAGTCCAATCATTGGTGAGTCGATTAATTCAACGCTCAAATGAAAGTAAAATAATCTTTCTGTTTTCTGTTGAAGAACGTAAATTCATTTAATTTATTAACTTTGTTATAGATAAATATATAGTCTAAAATTTTTTAGTTCAAATTTCTTGTGTTTATCCTTACTTTTTAATGATTAATAATGAATATAATTTAAAGTAATTTTAATTCGTTAAGAATAAAGTAAAGAAAATTAATTACAGTCATTCTTTTTTTTTATTTCTACTTACATTTCAGCAAATATTGGAAAGAACGAATCGGACAGAGTGCTTCCATTCAACATGTGGCTTAACCTACCAATAAGTATGACTCCATATTTTGAAATTACGTTCGCATTACAGGTATTGCCATTTCATTTCCCTAATATCGATAAATTAATTAAAATTTTACTTTCTTTTTCTTGTATCCAATAAATATAAATATTTATAATATT